GAAACAAATTTGGAGAAATTTAGCATTACATTGTAGTCCAAAACAGTTCTAAACAAATATGTTGGTGGATTTTGATGTGACAGGACAACAGGGGGTGGACTTTTTCACTGGAGGAAAAAGTTTGAATTTAAAACGCCTTAATGATGGATTTGTTTCTTACAGACTTGCAGCTTTTCACTTCACAAGACATTATTTGATGGAGTTGTGTGCATTACTTGTGGATTATTGTGATGTTTTTATCAGCTGTTTGGACTCTCATTCTGACGGCACCCATTCACTGCAGAGGATCCATTGTTAAGCAAGTGACATTATGCAAAATTTCTACAAATCTGTTCTTATTAAAAAACTAACTCATCCACATCTTGGATGACGTGAGTTTTTTTTTTCTTTTGGGTGAACTGTTCCTTTAGCACAAAATAAACCCTGATCAGAATGATCAGGATCCCAAAACAGAGTGGCTTGTATTGTCCTTCTGGGAATTAATTTGCGATAATGACCTGCTGACAGCTGCTTAGCAAATAAATAAAAATGACATCAAATATTAAATTGAATTTAAATTATAATATAAAATACGTTTTCAATAATAAAAATAAACTTCCTTAGTCATTGTAATATTTGTGGTACATTTGTGATAGGCCTCTCTCTCTCTATCTATCTATCTATCTATCTATCTATCCATCTATCTATCTATCTATCTATCTGTCTATCTGTCTGTCTGTCTGTCTGTCTATCTGAATTTGTAATACAAGCAGTGCCATTGATAGCAGCAAAAAGTCTGTGTACAAACGATTTTTGTAACAGGCAAGAGTGAAACATACAAATATAAAGGTTATGTCAATAACCGTTGGAGGCAGCGTACATTCATAATACTGCCCACGAGAGCGCTGCCCTGCTGAGCTCCGCCTACGTGATGGCCCCGCCCTGTTGAATAAAAAGGGGCGTGTCAGACTCTTCAGAGGACTATTTAAATGCTGCTGCAGGAGATCCGTTGACTGAAGTGTGTGGAGACTTTTTGCGCGGATTTTGCGTTCATCTATTTGAACGACATGGACTTTTACGACGTAAGTTGATTTAGGACAAATGTAAAACGCTCTGTAGTCTGATATTTGATTAATTACTTGTTAATAAGGCTTAGTCTATTTATTTTTGTCATGCACTTTGGGTGTCACTGTTTACCATTTAGTTTAAAAATCTTTTTAAAATAAAAAAGTTCTTTAAAACATATGTTTTAATGTTTTTAAATATATTTTTAATTTGCAATGTTTGATTTAACTTTGCGATTTTTAACATATTGTTTATGTGAAAGTAATCAATATACTGTTATTTTCTGCAGCACATCATTTTAGACAACAGCTCAGACTCCGGATCTGGAGACTTTGACTTTGACGAACTCTGTGACCTAACAGTCAGCAATGACTTCCAAAAGATCTTCCTCCCTACTGTATATGGGATTATATTTGTCCTGGGAGTCATTGGCAATGGACTTGTGGTGCTTGTGATGGGCTTCCAAAAGAAGTCAAAGAACATGACAGACAAGTACAGGTTGCACCTCTCCATCGCCGATCTCCTGTTTGTCCTCACTTTACCCTTTTGGGCTGTGGATGCAGCCAGCGGATGGCATTTTGGGGGATTTCTGTGTGTCACTGTCAATATGATCTACACTCTGAATTTGTACAGCAGCGTTCTGATTCTGGCCTTCATCAGCCTGGATAGATATCTGGCGGTTGTCCGTGCCACAAACAGCCAGAACTTTAGGAGGATGCTTGCAGAAAGGGTGATCTACCTTGGAGTTTGGCTCCCGGCGACACTACTCACTGTGCCCGATCTGGTGTTCGCCAAAGTCCACAATACGGGCATGAATACGATATGCGAGCTCACCTACCCGCACCAAGCGAACATGGTGTGGAAGGCTGTGTTCCGCTTCCAGCACATCATCGTTGGCTTTTTGCTGCCTGGTCTGATCATTCTGACCTGTTACTGTATCATCATCTCAAAACTGTCCAAGAACTCCAAAGGTCAGGCCCTGAAGAGGAAGGCTCTGAAGACAACTGTCATCCTCATCCTCTGCTTTTTCATCTGTTGGTTGCCTTACTGTGCCGGCATCCTGGTGGACACTCTGGTGATGTTGAATGTCATTTCTCACAGCTGTTTCCTGGAGCAGGGTCTGGAGAAATGGATCTTCTTCACTGAGGCGCTAGCATACTTCCATTGCTGTCTCAACCCCATCCTTTATGCTTTTCTGGGAGTCAAGTTCAGTAAATCTGCCCGTAACGCTCTGAGCATCAGCAGTAGATCAAGTCACAAGATGTTGACCAAGAAAAGAGGTCCTATATCATCAGTATCTACTGAGTCCGAGTCATCCAGTGTCCTGTCCAGTTAATGGACACTTGAACATAAAACTTTCCTACTTGGATGACTAAGCTTTCATTTTTATTTATTTATTTTTTTTAAAAAGGACTTTACTACACTTTTGTATATTGTAATCTCGTTGTGTTGTTAATTATTTTGTAACACTTATTTTTCTGGTGTTTTTATTCAACTGCTTTTTTAATGTTAGTACTTTTTTTTTCTTTGTACTTTTATTGCAAAACCTAAAGGCAGAGCCTTGACAAAGTCTGTATACTTGCAGAGGTTCTTCTCAGGAAATGTTAGCAAACTGTTGCATAGTCTTTTGGCTGATTCAGAACGTGTAGTGTAAATTATTTGTACATAGTTCATTGTTTGCTATTGTGTGTGTGTGCACTTAGCTATTCCTATTCCCCCATAAGCTTTTTGATATTTATTAAAATGGTAGCTCACACTGTTAAAAAAAGGGGTTGTAATTTAATCATGTCACAATTGTTGCATTTTGACTCCTGTTTCTTAATAAAACCTAAAAATCACCAATTTTAATGAGGTCTGACAGTGTTGTCTTACTTCTCTCAAGTGGCCAGACCCCCCCACACACACACACACACACATACATACACACACCCCTCAACCCCAATCTCTCAGAGGGGGTAGGGTAGAGCTGAAGTGGAGTGAAGGTCTGTCAAGTTACCAAAACAAAAGCTCCACCTGATCTCCCGCTGAACAGAATGTCTGAGGAGAAGGTCTGTAATTTTAAGAACATCTGTGTTCTTTAGCATTTTAAGCAACTGCTGATACAAGACACCCATCAACCTACAAAGGGACAGAATTGGCTGTCCTTTGGGATTTCTGTTGTTGTATCAGATAACAAGCAAAAGAAGTTACAAGGGTAGTTTGAAGATAAAGTGTGAAATTATAAAATCTGCAGAATACATAATATATTTTATCCTCTACTTGTAGTTGTAATGTCTTGAAGTTTTAGTTTTATTAGATACATTATTTTCACTAATGATTCTAAAAAATACAATACAGTGATTTCTTATATTACAAATATAAAAAGTTTCATTAAAATTTAAAACAGCACAAATTAAAATCAATTTAACAATTATTACAAAGAAGAAGGAATAATTTACCTTTTAAATCATACAAATATAATATATACATAAATAATAAATGTTCACATTACAATAATGAGAATAAATAAAGTCCTTTCTCGAGAATTGGTTTTAAATTGTCCATTAAAAAAATGTCACAATCCAAAATTATTAAGAATTTACAGGATTACTGTTAATACATGCATGCACATTTGACCTCTGTTTGCAATGCAAAGATCTCAGTCATCAAGTTGTGGTCTATCAGATTACAGAAGCAAGTTAGCAGCCCTGAAGAAATTATAAACCACAGTGGCAGAACATAGATATTCACAAGGTTCATGTTGTAATGACTTAACTCATGTTTAACACAGTGGGTTAAAATTACCATTTCTAAAGAGTCCAATGAGGTGTGAAGTACCCTGCATTATGGTTATTTTTCAGAGTCTGCTCTCACAGTAAGAGGCCAGTAAAAATAGAGTATTCAGTGCTGCATTTTGTTCATTTGGAAATGTTTTGGAATGGTTCTGGCATTAGCATGAGAGCTGTTCTCAAAAGCCGCGCCACACCATTAACACTCCATTGAGCTCTGCTGGACCATCTTTTTAAACTGCCATTTGAAAAGAGACCAACCAAAAGGAGCTTCTGGAAATCTGCTGGGAAAACCTATATTATCAAACCCCACAACTCAGACAAACCTTAGCCAAGCACACCACAGATCAAAAACAAATGTTAAATTAATCCAAACACTCAAATCATATAGCCCTTTGATAATTCATACCCTTCAATAATTAATGTCTTAAAGAAAAGAATTATGCGAGAACAAAAGAACATACACAGAAAGTACAATATTTAGAAAATAAGGAAGATACAAATTAGTTACTTTTTAAAGCAGCTTCCTCTCAAATATGGTCAGAAATATGATCGACCTGTTTATTTAGATGTGTAAATAAAGCTGTAAAGGGAGCTTTATTTCAATGAAGTTTGATCAGACTGTGTTTCCTACTCTTGCCATTCGTTTATTATTATGTTTATATTGTTTTGGCTGAAGAATCAGGAAGGCAGTTTCCTGCATCATGACCAATAGCTCCTGAAAGAATTTATGACACAGCTGAATATAGCAAACAGAAGTGGTGGTCTGTAACTCAAGAGAAAGGGGGTTTTGAGCGTATTTATTGCCTCTTTAATTATCCAGTGACCCTGGTAATATGAAGCAGTCCTACTGAGAAACATATAGCCTAATATGTACAGTATATATGTAATATATACTGTATATAGTATATGTTTACATGTGCCTCAGTATGTTTCACAGGGATTAATAATCCTCAGGTTACAGAAGTAAATTAGCAGCCCTTAAGTAACTATAAACCATATAGGCAAAACATAGATAATCACAAGGTTTATATTGAAATGATTTAACTCATATTTTTTATGTGATGGCAGTAGGATTGCACTGTTAATACGTAATGTTTTATTTCACGAACTAAGCAGCTTAAAAACGAACTGCACTGCGAGCGTGTGCGGATCAAGCAGTAACTAGGAACCTTTTTACGTGGAGACTTGTTCTACACGGACTAGCGAGGAAGTCGTGAATGTGCAATAGCAAAACACTTCCATCTCTTCTCCACATGTCCACTGTTCCGAGTGGCTGTCATTGCACATCAACAAATCTGAAATCTTGAATATCCAGTGCTTTTGTTTCACTACATCCCTTCAGAGCTGAACTATGACTAAAGAAAATGTACAAGGGTGAGAATACAATCTAATTGTTTTCTGCGGAAGTTTAATATTTGTGGTCAGGGCATTGATTAGCTTGCCTTGCTGCTAGCTGAGTCTAGAGTTGCAGGTGATTGCATCAGCAGTTTAGAGATCTTTAACTATGACAGCTGAACAGTGTCTTTATATACTAACATTTGGAGTTAAACAGGTGATCAGACATGCTAGATAACCTTTTGCAACAGTTTTAACTTTTAGTTGTGAATTCTTCTCTTAATAACTTAGTTGAGGATCAGTTTACTGACATAAGAGAATAAACTTTCTATCGTGGGGCCGTTTAAAATGCAATACAGTTAATAAACGGAGTTAGTGTGGAGGAATTTTATGTAGTAAAAGAAAACATTTGATATGTGCAAGCAGTGCATATGATGTACTAGATGCAGGTAGTTACCAGTTTTTAATAATCAAAGAAATGTCTATTAATGGCGTAATGAAATGCACCTGAAAAATGATACGGTTTGGTGATAATGATTTGCTGCTCAAGAAACAATTATTAACATTATGAATGTTGAAAACATTTGTGATGCTTATTATTTTTAATTGTGTGTGTGTGTGTGTGGAAACGTGACAAATATTTTTCAGGATTCTATGATAAATAGAAAGTTCAAAAGAACAGCATTTTCAATAATCAAGGTGGACAATCTCCTATAAACTCATGAAAATTAATTGATCGAAAGGTTTGGATCAGATAAGAGAGACCAGCGTAATAAAAGTTATTTTAATAGTAGAATTTCTAATAAGTTAACAGCATGACCTACTTTACGTTTCAAAAAACAAAGTGAAAATAACATTTCAAACACAAAGTGAAAGTAAGAAAGATTTGTTTTGATCACAGAAATGAAGTCCACAACTGCAAATACATTGATCTTTTCATTTTAATTATTAGCAGTTGAATTATTATAATGGATTATTTATATAATAATGCTATGCTGCTATGCCTAAAGCAGTGTTATGTGATATTGTCAATGGTTTAATATATAAACCACAATTTGATGAGTCACATGATAACAGCTGCTGTCTGAGGTGGCGAGGAGGGCATCTGAAAGCTCCATCTTTATTTTTACATCCCTTCTCTGCTCCGGACCGTGTGTTTCTGTAAATACATAACCCCCGAATCTGGCACAGGCCTTTAATTATCGGCAGCCTTCTCATTCTCTTCTATCTGCCCCAGTGCTTCCAGTTTCCTGTGCGCTGAAATTGCAGCGATGCTTATGGGGACCGTCATGCGTGAATTCCCTTGCAAACTGCTCATATGCCTTCACTGTGGCCCTTTATGTCCTCCGCTGCGGTTACGTGCTAATGCATAATGCAGAGGGGGGAGTGGAGTTGTTTGGTGCCCACTTTGGCACTGTTAAGGCCTCAGCGGTGCCCGCGGCTGGACCGTTGTTGTCTCGGCTGCGGTAGTGCTGGGGAAGACATTCACTGTCCATTGTGTAACTGTCCTTCTGTAGCACTGTGTACAGGCACTCGATCCTGTGTTGCCTGAGGGCTGCCATATGGTCGCCTGCCCAGATTCTGCTGTTTTTGGGGGTTCTTTGTAGATCTGTGTTGGATAAAGAGCAAAACTCTGCAATGAAGTCATAGTTTCTCTGTTTGTTCTGTTGTTTGGAGTAATTAGTGTAATAATAAATTCTGTTAAATGTCTGGAGGTGGAGCACGGGTTTGTTCTGCTCATGTTGACCACCTGCTACTCTTGTGGTTTCAGATTAAATGGTGCTATTCTTATTTAACATCCTTAGAGAGAGAGAGAGAGAGAACTTATAAATTAAACTTAGAATTTAAATGTAGCAAATGAGCTTTTAGTAAAGGGTGTATTTAAAGCGGTTGGTCAGTCCTGTTAACCAAAAACCATGTGTTGTGTTTTAATCGTCAATGGAGATCACAGAGGCATGTCATTTCCTTTAACCTCTGCCCTGTGATCAGTTTACATATTGTTGGGGTTTCTGTGTAATTGTGTTTGTTTTAAATAACTGTTGTACTGCTTGGTAATCCATCTCTGCCATATTAACTAATGATGGATGGATGGCAGTCTTGGCAAATGTTAGATTCACTTGGTTAATGGACTTGGTTAGCCAAGTGTCTGAACTAAACTAATGAACCCATGGACTCAGGTGTTAATGCCAAAAAGGAGAGTCATTTTAGAGGAATTGACCTCATTTTTTTGTGATTGCCAAGTATGTAACAGTATGTAAATGAGTGATTTTTTTTCTTGTTTTTTTTCTTCTAAGTAACTTGGTTCCTGTCATATTATTATATAGAGGAAATAATATAGTGTCTATGGGTTTTTTAATTGCCAGTTCTTACATAGAGCAGAGTGGCCAGTGTCATGTAATTTAATTTAGAGTAGACTACAGCAACTTTAATGTGTTAGTTACTATTTGCAGACGTGATCATTTGGCCAAATATGGATTGAAGAATTGGCCTGGCCAATATATTGAATTCATTTCAAATTACATTATTAGAAGTTAAATAAATAACACTTTTCATTATTGATCATTACTGTCACTTTCATGTACTCGTTTCTATTCTTAACTGTTAAATCAGTCTGTTGCTACATTATGGGACAATCATATTGCCTGAATGATATTTCATATGTGCTACTGTAGACAGACATCACTCTTCCTGAACTGCTATAACTGGACTACCTAGACCACAGGAGCACAAACAAGCAAACGTTACTGATGAAAGTCTAATTTAGCCTCTGTTGTTTTTTTGGGCATGTTGAAACAATAGATGAAAGACGCAGCAACTTAAAAAGCCAGCGGGATGCTGTGCCTGTGTTTGTGAGCCGAGATTGGAATGCTTTTACCTTATCTATCAGAAAAGTTTCCCGGAAGGAAATTTAAAAAAAGGTAGATGGAAGTTTGACAGAACTGTTTTTGTTGTGTGGTGTCTTCCTATTTTAGAGCCGGTGAGGAGGAGCAGTGCTACTGTAGACAGACATCACTCTTCCTGAACTGCTATAACTGGACTACCTAGACCACAGGAGCACAAACAAGCAAACGTTACTGATGAAAGTCTAATTTAGCCTCTGTTGTTTTTTTTGGGCATGTTGAAACAATAGATGAAAGACACAGCAACTTAAAAGCCAGTGGGATGCTGTGCCTATGTGTGTAAGCCGAGGTTGGAATGCTTTTCCCCATCTTTCAGAAAAGCTTCCCGGAAGGAAATAAAAAAAAAAGGTAGATGGAAGTTTGACAGAGCTGTTTTTGTTGTGTGGTGTCTTCCTGTTTTAGAGCCGGTGAGGAGGAGCAGCAGGCCCAGTCGAAGAAAGCCCTGAAGAAACAGCAGAAGGAAGCAGAGAAAGCAGCGAAGAAGGCAGAGAAGCAGGCCAAGCTGGTGAGTGTGCGCCAGGAGACGCAAACCCTGCCCACTATGATGCTCATGGCCCACCACTGCCATATGGAGGAGTTTCCATTGTTTTGCAATTCCTGTGCTTACAAATCTGTTTGTGCCTGAACAAAGTGGAATTTGTGCATCCAGAAAATATTTGCCCAATATTTTAAACAGTCAAAATGAATGTTTGCTTAATAAAGGGTCTGTGAGGAATTTTTTTGTCTGCTGGACATTTGTGAAACATTTTGTCAAATGAGTGATTCAGATACAGGAAACATAAGCAGAGCACATGTATAAAATCATTCTTACTTCAATTGACACATTGATTTGAATAATTTGCAAATAATCTAGTACTGCTTTACCTAGAAAAGTCATATTATTTTCCATGTTAGCACTCTGATGTACTTGCAGACATCAGTAAGTGTTTGAATTTGTATCATTGCAGTTTGGTAGGATTTTAAAGTGATCTTACAATGCTTGCCTTTCTCCAGAATAATCAGCATGTGTTTAATCTTTATATTAGCTCTTACTGAGGGTCTGTTTTCCCTTTACTGTTGGAAGTTTTATTGAAATCAGTTTCTCTCTTTGATTCAGGCTGCAGAGCAGCAGGAAGCTGATGAGGATGTAAGTATTGTTCATTTACTCTTCACTGTCCAAATTCACATTTCCTGTATGTTTTTAGCCATATCAAATGTTAAAGAAATAGTTCACCAAAAAAAAATATATATATTTCATGTACTTAACTTCTTAGTGTTCCAAATACTTTATGAATATATTTTGGAAAGATAATTTTTTTTTATTTTATCGGATGAATTATAATGAATAGGGACTGGATCTTTTCTGAGTAAGTAAGTAAAAGCCTGTTTCCAGCGCAGGAACTAGGGACTTTAGGGCGGTACTCGGTGTGTTTCCACCGCAGGAACCAGGATCTAAATAAAGTTCCGGGTAAAATTTTGCCCCTCAGAAAGTCCCTGCTCGCGAGATAGTACTTTTTCAAAGGCCCGGAACTTTCGGGGGTGGGACTTGGCACTGAACATTGCTGATTGGTTGAGTTCACGCAGCATTTGGATTGGTTGACTCTACGCAGCATTGTATTTCAACCACCATTTTTAAAAGTCTGTTGCAGTGCGGTGCTGGTGCAGTGCCGAGGATGAAATCCAGCGGGAACTGGAAACGGTGACAAAAAAATTCTGATTGTCCGTCGCTTTGTATAATGTTATCGTTGTTCGACATTAGCGGCCCCTCCTGGACTGGAAGGAGCAGTCGAGCGCAGTCCTACGTCACCAGACTATTTGCCTAATCTTCACGGTACTTTAGGCCGCGATGGAAACTCAGACAGCAACAGGTCTGGGGAAAAAAAAAGTTCCTGGGACAAATTGTTCCAGGTAACTTCGCTGGAAAAGAGGCTTAAGTTGACCATGAAAGTGATCCATATAGCTCGTTTCTGAAGACATTAAAGTAATCATTCACTGAATAGCTTGATATAATCTTGGCAATGTCTGTCATTGTCAATCATTCTTTTGAGTTTATCAATGAATTGGTTGATCCAGTTCACAAAACTAGTCTGAAAGATTTGTTTATGAATTGAACTAATTCAGTTCTTACATTGAGCTCATTGATGATCCATGATCCGTTCACAAGGTTCTCAAATTAACATCTTACTGGAATGGATTATTATCAGTGATAAACAACTTTTTGAATTTTTAATGAATGAACAAATTTTGGTTTGTTTGACTTGCTATGTATCGCTCAAATGGGCTTCTTTATGATGCTTTTGTGGTGGTTTTGCATCCTTCTTGAGGCTTGGAGATTTCAGGACTTATTTAGGCATTCTCCTTTAGTGTTACCCAGAAGAAAGTGATGTTTTAAATGACATTAAGGGGTGAATAAATGATGACACAATGAATTTTTTTTTTTTTTGCTGAACTGTTCCTTTAAGATTGATTACCACCCCATCTTCTTCTCTTCTCCTCCCAGGACTTTGCCAAGGATCGCTATGGGATCTGTCCTATGGTCCAATCCCAGCAGAAACTGGGTCAGTGTTCTTCTCAGTTTTTAAGTGGAGATTTAGGAGGGCATCTCGCTCCCACAGGATGAATATGGACAGGTTTCCCATAGCAAAATTTGCTGTAGAATGATAATTAGGAATGTCTTTGCGCTTAAGAGATAATCTAATGCTGTCGGGATCTCCCTGGCGTCCCCTTTAGCTCTCCCTGATGTTCCTCCCCTCGCTGTCACACATAATAGTCTTGAATAACTCTACGAGATAAATCTCGGATGAGGAATTAGGGTGACATTACTCCCGACTGTCCGACTGCAAGTTTTTAAGCTCTGCTGCTACAGAACAAAGTCGTCTCCCACCAGCATTCCTCTCAGGCAGAGATAGACGAAGCTTTCATGTGGGTGGATTCTGGATCAGCCAAACGCCCTGAGCACTTTTACTGGGGTTGAGCAGGACCGCCCCATCTCTGCTGCCTCATAATAAAGTCATAATGTGAGTCAGAGGAGGCAGGGTGACACTGTATTTGTCAAAATGCAGAAGAATTCACGTGATGGTCACCTTTCAGACGGGGCTTGTTATGTTTCATATTTATTAGCCCTCCTCCCAGTGGCTTTGTAATCCGAGTGAATGTCTTTGTGGGGATCTGTGTACAAGGGGGGAGGCCTGTCGTCTTTGATGTCTTTTCTCTGAGACTCTGTCTCTCTCTCTCCTGGATTGAGGCAGACAGGCCGTTGGTGCGTGTCCAGGACCTGACACCCGAGAAGGCAGAGCAGCAGATCTGGGTGCGCGCCAGAATTCACACCAGCAGAGCTAAAGGTAAACGCCTTCTCACTATTACACAAGCTCATCTGCTGTTGGAAGTGTTGCTCAATTAATTTCAACACGTGGAAGCTGCTCTTACCAAAGCTCAAGGGTTTCTGATTTGACATGCGGGCTGTATTATTGCATTAATAAACACTAAAATTACAGTTCCTTTAGCTCAAACATTAGAGCACGGGTTCTGCACCAAGGTCATGAGTTCGATTTCCAGGGAATGCAAGAACTGATAGAAATGTTTATACCTTAAAAATGCAATGTAAGTTGATTTAGATAAAAACTTACGTTAAAGGTTTCAATATAAATATAAATAACAGACATTATGGTCATTATCATAATTATACCTAAGAGAATTTTGTGAAACATTGAAGTGAAATATTTCTCCACGTGAATTTCACATTAGATAAATTTTTTTAATTGAATTTAAAATTTAAATGGGCACATTTGTACTTTGATCAGTATAAAGCTGCTTAGTTTGGAAGTGACATCTGAATAAGCTGTTCTTCATGCATTGGTACACTATTGATAATAGACAGTGGATTTTTTTTGTGTTTTGCTAACTACACTGTACTTTTGCTGCATTTGCCAAAATATGCATGTGAATATGGTTTCCCAGAATGCATATGACCTGACATTCCATTCCTAGTGTGAACAATGAACAGTAAGTAAAAACAGCCACAAAAGTGGTCTCTCTGTTGATTTATTATTTGACCAGACTGCCAAGAATGAAGGTATTTTTACACAAAGTTCGTTTAATGCTAAACAACTTTATAACTTACTGTCACTCATTGAATAAACATGCACTATTCAGTGTATGCTGCATAGTATGTAGTATGTAGCAAGCTAACGTTTCATTTCGAACATAGCCATTGTGTACAGTTAGCAAATTTTCTGTACAAATAAAATAACCAAATGGGCTTCTACAATTGATAAAACATTTGAAGTATGCAGCAAGAGCACACTACATTGGCCACAAAATATCATTACACATAGAGAGTGGCAGTTTTTAACACTTTTTCCTGGACTTGTTTGATCAGAATGCCAAAAGTTGAGGCCTTTTAACTCAAAGTTGGATTAAAAAATGTAAATATGTTTATCTGAGGTGATAACTACACTTGGTTAAAATTGCATGCAGCGTAGTTGTGGCGTATGACAACAGTGTAGCATGCTACTATTTAAAACGTTTTTTGTTGCATACTGCTTCATATACCGTTTTTGTAGTATACAGTGTATATATAATGCACGGTGTGCTGTAAGCTGTACTTTAATATTTCATCTTGAATCTAGACTTATGTTCTTATGTTCGCCAATACCTGATGCACATTCTCAAAATATAATATAATATGATATGATATAATATAATATTTTTCCTGCTTTTCAGTCCTGTAATTTTCCATACCTGTGGTTAATTCAGGTGATAAGGACCATGAGGGATATGGGTGCCCTCAACATGTACCTTATCTGTGGCAAATTTTTATTTGGATGAATTGCAGTGCTGTTGAAAGATTATGAAGGTAGTGGCCATTTTCACTGGAGAACTGACAAACATCCCTTGTGGCTGCGTTTTATTCATAGGAAATGACATCAATAGAAACTATTTGGTTGAATCCTCAGCTTAAATGAAACTTTGTGGCTTCCCCTGTCTGTCCCACACAATCCAAGTCCGAGGGGTTCACACATACATGCCTGGTTTAAGAGTGCAGTAATGAATAAACCATGTATTATGGCTATATAACTAAAGTTTCCTTCCACAACAACTTTCATGTCAAGGATCCTTTAACCTCCAGCTTCCTTCATTCTGTCAGTGTGCTCTGGGCTGAAGGATGTCCTTCAGCACAACAACATCCTGATTTGCTCTGTGATGAAGGGTCTGTTTTTAACTACCACTCAGCTGTCTGTCTGACTGACTCTGAACACTGAGGGGGACTTCAAAGAGTCTGGGTGGTCTCTGATCTTGACCTGATCTGTGTCAGGTTTACACAAATCGGAGTTTGTTCACTCTCTAGGTGTCTGATTAGCAATTTGGTGACGAGTCAAAACCGCACGCATTGTGTCTTTCAAAGAGACGTCCAACCTGTTGATAGCTGATCGATGCCAGTAAATGTGGTGCTTTTATTTGACTGTTCTGCTCTACAATAATCTAAAATCTAAATCCTAGTTTGTTAGAGGTTTAAATAAGTAAATGCCTTTAATAATTGTTTAATTTTTATAGTTGATTTACTCATACTTTTAGCTCTGGTTTTGTAATCAGGTTAGTTTCTATAAAGATGACATGAAATGGCATTTATTTACAATGCATATTATAATGTGCTGTATTTCAGATTGGTGTCTGTTTGGTTTGTGAAAGTGGGCACTTTATTATTATGGCACATTAGTATTGTGTTATTAGTCGTGCTGTTATTGTTCTCAGACTTTGAACAATCCATAACTAGTAATATTTATTCTACTACTTCATTCTATTCTATTCTGTTCTATTCTATTACATATTCAGAAGGTCGGTAAGATTTTATTACATGTTTCTGAATGAAGTCTTAAGCCCTATTCGCACGGGATTAGTATTATCTTTGGCAAATTCATTTTTCATAAGTTTGTATGCACAGACATCTGTTATGGGCATTCTTGGCAGTTTTTACAAGGCTTTTTTAAATGGTGTTCATATCGATATCAGAATTATATCGTATCGACCGAAATTAAGAAATATATCGTGATATAAATTTTGGCCATATCGTCCAGCCCTAGTATAAACCGTAATATTGTAAAATATTACAGTTTAAAATAACTATTTTCTATTTTAATATATTCTGTGATGGCAAAACGTTCAAAAACCGTTATTCCAGTCTTCAGTGTCACATGATCCTTCAGAAATCATTCTAGTATACTGGTTCAGTGCTCAAGAAACATTTCTTATTATTATCACAGTTGAAAATGGTTTTGCTGCTTAATGTATGTCTGCTTAAATGGTGATGCATTTTTTAGGATTCTTTAATGATCAGAAAGATCAAAAGAACAACATTTATTTAATATTGAATTTTTTGTAACATTATAAATGTTGTTACAGACAGTCACTTTTGATCAGACTAATGCATCCTTGCTGAATTGAGTATTCATTTCTCTAGAAAATGTTACTGCCCCCAAACTTTTGAACTGTAGTGTATATTTAGTTATATTAGTGGACTCTTTGACTTGGGCAGTAAGTACCTGCCCTGGTTTTAAGGTATGCTGAGATGTGTGTTCTGACAGGTTGTTTTTTTTTCTCTAGGGAAACAGTGCTTCTTGGTCCTGCGTCACCAGCAGTTTACTGTGCAGGCCTTGCTCGCTGTGGGAGATCGTGCGAGCAAGCAGATGGTCAAGTTTGCAGCTAAGTGAGTATAGGCCGCGTTTACTGTCAAACAATGATGGGAAAAGTGAAGTCCTGGCAACTCATTCCATTTTAACACGTTAAGTGGCGATCGATGACGTTTCACTTGGAACAAAAGCTCAGTTTTTGCAGTTGGATACAGCTTTCCCTCAACACCGTAATGGGTCGTTCCCCTTAAAACAACAAACAGTAGATACATCAGAGAGACTTGTCTACTTAAAAGTGTAGCTTGAATGAATGACTATGGGTTTGGGTCAAATAGAGGGTTGTGGGACAATAGGACAAACATTCTCACAAATACAAAACTGAAACCTTTCGATTCATACCATGTGCCATATTAGGTGCGATTTTGTTTCTTATTATCGATTCAGTCTGGATGTATGGAAATGTGTGTTTGAACGTTTGCATGATTCATTCTTTTGCTTTCTCGCATGAAATGTTTCATCAGATAGTAAGCTTTCACAACTGTATGATAGACGAGGCTTGTTCACTTTGTTTTCAAGTCCTCTTCTATTCTTTTAAGAGGGTCAGAGGGTTTGTAGCTTGACCGTGTTAACATCCTGTGTTTGCTCATGCAGCATTGAATGGTGGCTAAACTCTGAATTGAATTGAAGGGTGTTGTGGTCTGGGGAGTTCCTTTCCAGTTCCTTACGCTGTTGATTTGTTTGTCATTGCTTGCAGTTGAATGGAAGGGTCCTGGTTGATATCTGTGCACTTGGTTATTTCTTATCTAACTGAAGGATTTCACCTTAGCAGAAATCTTAATTGAGTGCTTCCCCATGCTCACGGATCACCGAAACAGGTTTTGTGTTCTGCAGACAAACTTCCTCTAAATGTTAATGGAGTAACAAAACAGTTAAATTAGAGAGTTTCAGTTAGAGGATGTGAAAGAAATAAACTGGTTGCCACATATGCCATTTTTGTACTGTATTGTTGCAGCATGTTTAACACACCCATTTTTTTTCTACCAAATACATAATATATGTACCTATCAATATACATTTTTTTAGAGTTCCAGAATTATCTAAAATAATGTGGCATATTTTAAAATAATGTACACCTCTGTTACTTGCATTACTCTAGGATTCACATTCCCCATGTCTACCTGGAAGCACACATTACCTACGAACATGATTCATTAATCAGTTTATTTTTTATTTTTTGAAAATTTGCTGGAAAATATCATGCAGGTTTGAATACTTCAGGATGAAGATTAAAACCCATTATAGAATAATGTTCTGACTCTAAAATTTGATTGGATGAGCTCTGTTGTAGATGTTTATTTATTTTTTTATTCGATTTTTAAAACTACTGAATTGTATCTTATATTATTATATAATCCTTGGCGGAATATATTTTTATATATTTATCATTGTATTCTTTTATCATATTGAAATTGCTGTCATTTTTTAAAAGCAATTAACCCATGCGTTATAGTAAGTTTTACTATGATTAATACTTATTTTCACATGTCTTACCATGGTAAAATCACTGTAACATTCAACCTCTTAGTTTGAATATCACGGTAAAAATTAAAACATGTTAAAAACTCATTATAAAATGCATAATCTGAATCTAAAATCTGTTTAGATTACCTGTTTTCAAAGAAATAAATGCTGCATTTTTATATTAAATGGCAGAAAACCATTATTTACTCTAAATATTTATTTTTTTAATATTTATTAATCTTTTGTCATAATGCCATAGCCACCATTTTCTAAAAGCAGTAATCAACTCAGATGCGTTATAGTTTTACCATGTTTAAGGGTTATTTTCACATCCTTTTACCATGGTAGAATCACAATATCATTAAACCTCTCATGGCAAAGATTTTAATACACCTTTGCATTTATTGAAATTTATCTCAAAGGGATCTAAACTAGGGCTGTGCGATTTGGGGGAAAATATCAAATTGCGGAAATTACTTTTGTTCGTTGTCTGTCATTTCGAAGCTTAAGTTGCATACGTTTTTCTTTAGTTTTAATTTGCCTAACTATCGATCTGACCCAGTAGACGCCATAATCCCACTCTGTCTCTCTCCTGTCCCGCTTTCCATTTTTTTTTTTAATGGTGGGTGTTTACGCAGTTGGCTAGAGCAGTGCTGATTGGGGAGAACGGAGGTGCGCTCACTCTATTGGTTAGTAAGACTGCAACTCAAGGCTGGCAGTCATGCATATGCTCTGGAACAGAGTAATATCGCGTCCATATCGCAGGCTTTGCGATTAGGAAATCGCAACGTCTCAAATCGCGATTTCGATTCGATTTCGATTAATCGCACAGCCCTAATCTAAACCAAGCTATAAAGCCACTCACTGCTGATGTCCACAGTAATTTTTACGTTTTTTTTTTTTACACATTTGTTTTTACAACACGGTCCTGTTCATGCCATATATTCGTTCATAATAAGGTTATTAAGCAGTGCTTCCTGAACACAGGATGCTCCTGACCCTGATTAGAGTTTCTTGCCTGGTGCACCTTGCCACGGTGCCACCTCAAACCTATACAGAGACGTTCCAGACACGCACTGTGTGCTTTGGAGCACAGCTCCCCCTAGCTGATGGTCAGTGGGTCAGTGGATGTGTACTCCTCATCACTGAAGCTTGTTGAAAATCAATGCTGTGTGATAAAGTGTATATGTGCACAATCAGAGGGCAGGTCAAACACGCTCGCTCTCTGTATAATCCTCTCTTTATATCCATCTCTCCCTTCAGGCCAGTGTTGTTTCAATACACAAGCACTAATGCAGAGCCCATCATGGGCGGCTTAGTGTTCAGTAACCAGACTTAATCAGGACTTATGAAGAGCAACGTGTCTGTATGGAGATTGTTAGAGAGGGTCGTGTGAGCAGAACTGATCCCAGAGCGATGTGGCCGCTCTCTGAGCAGCAGCTGGCAGGGACTGGCGCATCTCATTCTCTTTCTCTCTGGTCTCTCATTACTCTTTTGTAATGACTGGAGCTGAAGGTTGCAATCTCAATTTGTGCCGTCTGTTTGTGAAGCAGACAGTTGGCCGTTATCTTAACGTCTGACCTTAGAGAGGCGACAAGGCTTAGTCTTGCCAATCTTATATTGTTTCACTAAAAGGAGTAGGTCATCCAAAATGAAAATTCTGTCATCATCAGTTACTCACCCTCATGACATTTCAAATCCGATTGGCTTTATTTCTCTTGAAAGATCGTGAATGATAGTTCAAAGTGACCATGTCTGTCAAGCTCTAAAAAAAAAAAAAAAGGTTTCTAATTTTGTGTTCCACTGAAAATTAATTTGGAAATTAAAAATGACCAGATTTTCATTTTAAGGTGAACCTTTCACTCTCCTGCTAATATTTTTGCAGCATTTGTGGTGGTGAGAAACCCATGACCTTTAAAAGTTGTCAAAAAAAATAAAAATAAAAATACACACTGGAGTGTAAGTGTTTCACCAGAGTGAAAGCAGTGTGAGTTGTCTTCACAACAGCAATCTGTTTGTTTGAATTGTAAAAGCAGAACTATGCATACCACGTAATAAAGATAGTTTAAAACAAAGTTGAATTGCATAGAGACTGTTGCCTAACAATATGATCTCATGAGTTTCCATGAAGTGGTTCTGCAGTTTCTATTTCATATTTGCTGTTCTGAATGTTGTTTAAAAAAACACCTAGTTTTTATTCTAAAATGAAACAATTTTGTTTCGGATCATTATCACGAGACGTATAAATCCACACATCACACATTTCTGAACATTTTCAGTTGCAGTTTCTTTTCATAAGTTTTTGTGTTTTGAAGTTCACACATTTTTTTGTGGTGTGACAAATTAATGTTATTCTGTGTGTTACCTCTGTAATACACATAACAACATTACACAGTATTCTGTGTAAACTTCTGTTTAAAAAATGTAGGGCTAGTTAGATTTTTTTTATTTATTTTGTTTTTAGAAATTAATGCTTTTAATTGGTAATGACACATTAAATTGATCAAAAATGGCAGTATTTTATTATGGTTTTCACTAAAACAACAGTTTTCATTATTGATCATAAGAAATTATTCTTGGGTACCAAATCAGCATATTATAATGATTTCTGAATTACACTGAAAGTTTAATTGCAGCCTTAATGTGTAAAAACAAACAAAAAAAAAGACCATCCCAACCCCAAACTTTTGAACTGCGGTATAGTCTCTAAAAGTCCCTTAATACTTTTAGTGTTATGTTTATACAAGAATTTAAAAATTTATATTTTCAATCATTTTTGGATTGCAGTGTTTGAATTTGCAGGATGTCATGTCAGCTGTCCAAATGCATTTTTTCCCTCATCCTCATGCTGTATTTTTCTGTTTACAGCCTCACGAAGGAGAGCATCATTGACGTGGAGGCCGTGGTGAAGAAGGTGGAGCAGAAGATCGAGAGCTGTTCCCAGCAGGATGTGGAGCTCCATGTGGAGAGGGTAGAGATCTGAGATTCATCTCTATTACTTGATTGAGAGAACACCTCTGAATGTTTTCTGTAAATATTGAAACTTGAAATGATAGCATTTCATGAAATATAGACTATATCTTTTCTCACAAGAAGACCGGTGGAATTTGTTTTGGCCTTACATGTTCTATAACCAATGATTGGTACCAAGAATCCATTTGCAGGTACAGTTCACCTGTAGTAACTTGCTGTTAAATTGGTAATTCACTCCAAAATGAATATGTGGCCATCAATTTCTGACACTCATGTTGTTTCAGACCTGTATGACTGACTTTCTTATGTGGAAAACAAAATGAGCTGTTTAGCAAAAGGTCTTTAGTTCATGCAGTAAAATTGGAGGGGACCAGGGACAACTGGGCTCACTATTCCCATTCATTATATGGAAAAGAGCAGCTTGGACATTCTGCTAGATAACCTATTTTGTATCCAGTCATAACCTAAACTCTCGTTCCCTTTCTGTGTCTGTCTCAGATCTTTGTGATCAGCCAGTCTGAAGCCCGGCTTCCCCTTCAGCTGGAAGATGCTGTCAGGCCAGAGGGAGAAGGAGACGAGGTGAGAAAGCTGAAATGTTGTGGGTGATGAGAAAAGAACAGAACACAAATGAAAGCTTAAAACGTTAAACAGATCCCTCAAGTCAGTGTTACAATAATCCACAGTCAAAGTTCAGTTGGACAATCTGAGTTAAAAGAGGGTGTTTCCTCTTAATTTCTGTCTTTTTTTTTTTTTTTTTTTGAAGTACAGTATGCATTAAAGCAGTGGTTCTCAATTCCAGTCCTGGAATACCACAGCTGTGCACATTTTGTATGGCTCGCTTATTTAACACACCTGAGTCAGATCATCAGCTCGTTAGGAGGGAGATCCAAAGGAAAAGAACTGAAGGCATCAGATAAGAGAGACATGCAAAATTTGCAGAGCAGTGGTACTCCAGCACTGGAATTGAGAACCACTGCATTAAAGTGATAGTTCACCCAAAAAATGAAAATGGTCATCATTTACTCGCCCTCAAGTGGTTCCAAACGTGTTTTTTTTTTTTTCCTCCTCCTTCTATTGAACACAAAATAAGATATTTTGAGTAATGTGTGAAATCAAACGGATGGTGTTCCCCACTGACTTCCATTTTATGGAAAAAAATACTATGGAAGACAGTGGGAACCAGAATCTTTTCTTCAAAATATCTTTTAATAGAAGAAAGAAATTCATTCAGGTTTGGAACAACGTGAGGGTGAGTAAAGTAGATATTCATTTTTGGGTGAGCTATCCGTTAAAGCAGCAGCATTCATGTTGTTTAAGGTGCTATACAAATAACTTAAACAGTAGTAAGCTACATTGTTGAGAGCATTACATTATGGTATATAGTGTAATATACGGTGTAATCTGGTGTGTATTTCTCATAGCAAATGCAGGAGGTCATCCAGGCACACCATACATACAGAAATTTATAGAAGTTTACACACAGCACAGAAATGGCCATTGTGAAAAGGGCTTCAGTCTCTGCCTGTCTTTCTTGACGTCACACAGCTAATGGTGTTGCAGTGTTTATGTAGTAAGACAAAACCAGCTGCAGTTGCTGTCCAGGTGTTCTCTGCTGGGATTCCACAGTGTCAGTCAGACAGAGCATCTGCCGCCTCATTACGCCTGTGTTTTATCGGGCAGTCTGAGGATGAGCATCCATCAGACTTCAGCTCTGACGGGCTTTATGAAGGAAACATAATTCTTAGGGCTCAGGGGCCTTGGGGCCTCAGCAAGAGAAACAATTTGAATCTAGATTCAGATTTATACATTGCCTTTCAAAAGTGTTGAATCATTAAAATTTTTAAATATTTTTGAAAAGTCTCTTATGATCACCAAGGCTGCACTTGAGTGTCACATGAGCCTTCAGAAATCATTCTCAATTTCTTATTATCAATGTTGAAAACTTTATATTTTTGTGGAAACCCTGATACATTTTTTTGGTAATAATTATAGAAAGTTCAAAAGAACAGCATTTATTTGAAATAGAAAAATATATATATATGTATTATATTAAAAATGTACGTACGTATGCATGTATGTATGTGTATATATATAATTATAGAAAGTTCAAAAGAACAGCATTTATTTGAAATAGAAAAATATATATATTTATTATATTAAAAATGTACGTACGTACGTATGTGTATATATATATATATATTAGGGATGCACGATATTATTGGACCAATATCGGAATTGGCCGATAATGGCTTTTAATATAAATATCGGCATCAACCCGATATGAAAAATTATGCCAATATGTCTTGCCGATAAGAGGAATACATTAACT